TTTTTGAGACTTTTTTTTTTTAAATGTGGGTCAAATATGGCTCATGAAAGATGTGGCTTAGTTGAGGTTGAATTAAGGCTGATATCAGGAACCTGTTCTGGCCCAGAGTAGGGCCGGATATGGTTATACAATGCGGCTCAGATCCGGCCCGAATGCGGCCCGGATCATGGATGCCAGACCCGGGCCACTGCAGGACCGTCATTCATTGCGGTATGTGGGCCGAGTGTCGTGCCGTGTCCGCGCCAGAGCTGGGCCAGACCAATTTTGCTGACTGGGAAGAATCGAACTCTGCACCTCTGCACTGTGAGGCCCACGCGCTAACCAGTCGCCCCATCCACAAATATGCAAATTTCTAAACTGCAAATGTGCACAGATCATTTGCAATTTTTAAATTGTAATATCACCAATCACCACTAGGCGCAATACAGTGATCCCTCGCTTTTCGCGGTTAATCGGGACCAGACACCTCCCCCCCTCGGCGAAAGAGGAAAATCCGTGAAGTAGGTACCCCTCCCCCCCTGTACATGTATATGTACGTGAGTATGAGCATATATAATCTTTCTAAGGTCAAATTTAATGGTATACATGCATGTAGAAGTAAATGTTTGTAGCAATTAACATTACGTAATGCTATATACTAATATATATATATATATATAGAGAGAGAGAGAGAGAGAGAGAGAGAGAGAGAGAGAGATCTATATAGATATAGATATACTGTATAGATATACACACACACACACGTAAGATGTATACGTTTGGTTAGTGTATAAATAAAATACGGTAAACGTTAACATTAAATAAATCTGGAATGATGTTCAAGTTTTGTAACCTCAGTTATATTAAAATTGTGTTGATTTTTGTTGGAAAAAAAGTTCTTGCACTTAAATTTGGTTTCTTGTGCAGCAGTTTTGTGCTGTCCATGAATGGTAATTTCTCTCCAAAAGCGCCCTTTGCACCGAAAAAAAAAATACAGTATGTGGTTATTTTGTGGTTCGCTTCAAACCCTTTGTTGTTGGGTTAGGATAGTGGATCTTTAATACATACACTGAAAAATTGTACGATCAAAAAAAAAAAAATTGAGCCCCGCTCCAGCACTGAAGTTGCTCATGGTCCCCGGTTTAACATGCAGAGCTGTCTTATAATTGGTCAAAGCGCAAACCCCACAAAGCTCGGGTCTTCAAGCTCCACCCACTAAATTGACGCTCCAACGACCGCTGCCCGACTTTCTGCATCTTTCTTGTCAAGTCTCAAGTCCCTTTCTTCCTCACCCCCCTCACCCGCGGCAACTCAAGTCCAGACTGAGCTCAGCCCCTTCCTACTTTCTGGAGGTTCGGGTTTATCTGGGAGCTAAGAGGACGTTATTCAGGAGCTGCGCGTTTTCAGGTGAACCAAGGCTCCCGTTGGACTCTTACGGGGAGGGGAGCGAGCCAGAACCGGCGACTGGCTTTTTGAAGCTTTTTCCTCGAGAAGCACCTCTTCAGAGAGCGATCTGGGAGTCATGACGACAATCTCGGCTCTGTGCGTGCTCTTACTGTGCCAGCTTTTGACGTCCTCCTCTGGCCAGGTAGGCTCTCGTCAGTGGCCGTGTGCATGCTGAATTGATTGGGCCCTCTGGAGCAGCAGAATCTGTCGGTTCTTGTCAGAAGCTTGTGATGGAAGCGATGGCAACGACATGAAACTGTTCGTTTTTTACTCCCAGTCACTCGGGAATTTGCAACTATTTTGTGGTGGGCCACAGCAGTAGTTATGGTTTCCCCAAGAGGCCCGTTGTGACTAAACAGCAAATAAAGTGGACGGTCACATTATTACATATGCACAATTGGCCCTGCATTTGATTGATTTGACCAATGTATTATCAATTTGAAATCAGGTTAAGGACTATAGTGACAACCAAATGCCAAAGTATACAAATGTGGTTCATTTATGTCAAGTTTAAATAAAGGCTCAATGTTGGGAGAGAATTTCTGCCAAAATGAGAGGAACAAATTCATTTCTTACGAAACATGAAATAAACTAGTGTTTGCTTTTGTGAGCTCCACAAAATGATGTGACGGGCTAGATCTCATCCCACTCCTTTAGTTTGCTACCTTCACATTATATTAAGAAGTATCCATTGATTGCATGAATGCGACCTGCTGCTTCTGGTTCAGTGGCCAGATTTCGCTAGTAATTTTCTTCCACCTGTGGAATGTACAGATTGAGAGGAGTGCACACAATTTGGCCTCTGTTCATTCAGGCCACACACAAGCTCAGTGGATAAATCCACATTGAAGCATTTATTCTGTGTATCTTTTCATTTAATCTTTCCTGCCTGCATTGTTTAGTGTACACGGTTCAATTATATCTTGACTCCCATGCACAATGACGGCACTATCGATACACAAGTAACTTTTCATCACTGAAAATGAACTCTGCTGAATGGTGACATGTTGTAAGATGCTCCATTTACTTTGTATTGTAGAGGCCTGGCCCGCGAGGAGCCACTGGGGAAGCAGGGCCGCCAGGGCCCCCTGGACGGGACGGCATTGATGTGAGTTGACTTTTGTCTTATACACTTGCGACACATCAGCAGCACCTTCTGCCAATTTAACAGTGAGTCTGCGCCAGTTAGCGCATGAAAAACATGGCGAATTTCCATAGGTTTTGTCACTTTCCAGACAAAAGTCCCAAATTTTTTGTGTGTGTACATTTCTTAT